TCAATCAAATTGTCAATCTAATTTCATTCTCTACAAACCAATTCCTACCTAAAAAAGACTCTGAAGAAAATATTCCAATAGCAAAGCTTGAGGACGTTCCTTTAGCACTACAGTTAAAACCTGTATCACCAGTTCCATTCTCTTCGTCCGATGACGACAAAACTTCATCGTTGCTATCGACTACGAACCCGGGTTTTCCGTCATTCACTTCACCTACACCATCTCGCCCAACAAGTATTGGCACGTCCCAAGACAACAAATCACAAAATTCATTGTTTTCACCCGGTTCGCTTATGGCGGAAGCAGAAGAAAAGGGAATGTCGACAACCGCACAAGTATTAGCCGAGAAGAGAAGTATGTTAACGGCTTATAAAAACAGCAAAAACGAGCCTCAGGAAGAAACAGAAATGACGTTTTCCGCGGGGTCGTTGATGGCTGCGGCTGAGGAGAAAGGTTTATTCAACAAACCCTCCCGGTCAGATCTAGATTCTGTGTATTCTGATTCCTGCGTAAGTCTAAAATCTCCAAAACGTCCGGAAAAGAGGTTACCTGAAATTCCTAGGACTACGTCTCCGCCCTCTTCTCCTCCGCTAACGTTTGTATCTACAACGTCGACTGATCGCGGTCGCCAGTCATCGAGTATAGCCAGCTCTTGCTACGAAACAGCCAGTGGTTCTACTGCAACTCTTCATACAGCTCCGCCATCGCCGACAACTGAAATCGACGGGACTATAGTTGGGAGTCCAACTATCGAGTTAACTATACCGGCTCTGACTGAAAGATTGGACTTGAATGATGAGTCTACACCCAAGATACATGTGGATGAGGCCATTTTGGCAAGTCCGGTAGAGAGTGTCGATACGGTACCTGGCGTACCGGAGGAGAGGGATGAGGAAGAGTATAGATGGGCTCAGGCAAGGAATGCAGCTAAGCGGTGTTTTGACGATAACGAAACGTTTATGAAGAAAGAAAAGGTTACAGAGTTTTTAGGTAGGAATTGGTTTGTAGAGAATGAAATTAGATTGACAATTTGATTGATAACATAACATACGTTCTGATAAATGGGCAACTTTGAACAAATGAGAGTCATTTAGATTTTGCACACACACATTCTCATGAAACGCACACCTCCCTACCCCCTCCCTTTCCTCCCCCTCCAAATCCACACTCTCATTTCGCCATTACCTGTTCGCCGGCCCTTAGTCACCTTTCGCGCGTTCTGTTTTTTATTTTCACCAGGACTATATTCAAATACTGTACTCCTTTTTTCTACGATTTGTTTATCGAAAGTTTCTCCTTTCGTATCACTAACCCCATCCATATTGAAATACTCCAGCCGGCCTATATCGGGCATGCTTTTGTTAGCGTTTAATTTCATATACATCTTTGATCGTCTCTGCTCTTTGTTACTGCTATCAGTAATGTCTGGATCTAATTGCAAACGTGCGTACACAGATGCAAAATCATTTAATGTTCTTTGGAGGTTCTCATGTTCGTCGTCTGATTTTTGATGGGACGTACGTTTGGTGGGTGATTTTGGGGGAAGTGGTGGTAGTGGTGGTGAGGGAAATGCGCCCTCCTGTGAATTGTGTGTGGATTGTATCGTGAGCTCATCTGTAAAGTTGGGTAACGGTGGCCGGGTGTGGGTTTGTAATTGATCCGAAGGGGATTGCTGGAAAGCGTAAACGTTCAAGTGGGAATGGGAATTGGATAGAATGTGAGTCGAGCAGAAAGGAGGAGTAGTCAGTATGTGTGAAAGTATGATTGATAGCGACACTACATTACGTAAGTGTGAATTGAAAGCTTTTTATTAACATAATGATTGAATAACCGATTGTATGGAAGATATAAACTATTCAAGTTCAAATTTGCTTGCCAATTATCAAGGAATTGACGATTAAAACATGTAATTGACTCTGATCATTATAGACCATGTTTTCTTTTTAAACCATGTTGTATTGTTCCTATTGAGTTGTTTCAGATCTCACGGAACTTTTAAGTATAGCCGAGAATAATAAACTGTGCCCGAATAATCTTCATCGTACCCGGTAATGGAACAAGTGTTTACCTTGCTGCCTAGCTTCCTAAAGAAAGTAGAAGTCTTTTTCATAGTCTTCTTCATGGCGACCGAATGTTGATGTCAATTGTATATAAATACGACGTGAATGAATGTTTATGGACTCGAACAATAATAACCACACTGTCAACGAAGTGACGGGTTATACACTAGTTATATAAAATGAATTTTGTTCAACTCTTGTTTTTCTAAAACGATTGTTTGTTTATGCAGTAAAATTCTCAACACCAAACCTAAATTAGCTTTTATCGAATTATAATACTAAAACGGTTAGATTACCAAATACCAGGACCACAAATATGAATGCAACAAACTTAAAGGATTAAGGCTACAGTTTTGATAATGATAATTTTAAGTCGGAATAGAAGAAGTTGAGTTAAACGTTGAAGCGGATAGCTCAAACAGAATTGCTAGGTGAGAAACGTCTATAAGATGAGACTGAACTCTAATGCAATTGAATTAATTTCGTTATCGATATTATCTCCAGTTTTATGCTTAACAGTGAACAATCTCGAAACTTACATTTTAAGTTATTGGTTCTAACTTAAACCCTATGCACTTTTGGCGCATGAATATTGAGAATTGAGTACATGTTGATATTAATGAAATCATATTTACAATATTAACATTATTCATTATAACTAGTTTAGTAATTCTTGAATTACATTCGTCACCCGCAGTCTAACCACACGAACTTTTACTTTCTTTCAATTAGCTTATGGTTTGATTTTTTTTTCTCCTTTCTTTCTTTCTTTAATTTAAACCATAAATTGTTCATGGACAGGTAATATAAATACGATGATTTAGCGCTTGATCTGTATTAGCCTTTTCCTACTGAATTAATTAGTTTCAACTACAACGGCATTCGTTTCCAGAATAGTTTTGATGGCTTTAACAAACGGTATGTCAATATTAACAGTCAAATATAATATTATCTTACAGATGTCATCAACGCGTTAATCTACATAGACAGCTCCATAATCTTTTAACAGAAACGGTGTCTCTATTATTGTTTGGTTGTCACCCTCACAGAATTTAAAATTAATGCATAACTCTGCGGATGTTAGCAGTGAAACTTTAGGTATAGTTTAACTTTAAAGCGTAGATAATTTCTCTTATTAGAAATAAATTTTAGGTTGTTTTACTAAATTATTTATGAATAAAAGAACAGATCGGCAACTATGACGCATAGTCTAGAACCTTACTGGGAACAACAACCAATCAATGATCTTTGTTGGAAAAAATGTAAACTAGTGAGGGCGAATACTCTTCAACAACCGAATCTCTGACACATTGCACTTTTGTGTAGCTATCTCAATTTTACACATCCATTGCACTGCATTTTCAATTACTTGGACCAGGTAATGTAAGCTTTTAGTTAGCCAATAATAAATAATATCGTAATAGTAATAAACCAATTATTAGAAGGCCTGGTTGTTTGAGGTATTTGACATGCACGTTATTTCAAAACATGACGGCGTATCTTGGATTATCGACAATTCAGAGTGAAGATACTCGCAAGTAAAGATTAAGTTCAATAACATGTGCGCCTTTGTCTGATGGTTCTGATAATCAAAGTCGTCTAATATAGCATACCAATACTGTAGTTCATTATCAAGGAAAGCATCAGGTGACATAAAAAAAAGGGTACTTAGTTCGTTATTATCAATGCTATTCGCCTTCTTTTTCTTGGTTCTTACATAATAATTTTATATAATCCTCGAATGAATATCGAAAAGGAAACATGAGCGTTATTGTTCTACCAAAAACGAGGAATGTCTACATGTGACTGCTGATTTCACCATCTCCCCTCTAAAGTAAGACCCAAAATCTTTTGTTTGATAAATGCTCTGCATACCCATATCTAGCGTATTCACACATGGGACTGTTATTATTATGCAAGTTTACTCTCCTCTATCCTTATACTACTAGGTCTGTATGTGATTACGTCAACTCATGTCCCACTGCATGTCACTGTGCTACTCAATACCTATCATTCGTTCATTGGCGACAATAGTTTCCTCTTTCCCTCTA